TTCAGCTGCTTATTTGTCACATGTCCTCTTAGATAATGTAACAAAGCACAATAATTCATACTATGCAAACATTTTTCAGAGTGTAATTCACAAATTGTCTTTTATACAAACTGAAACTTTGGGTCTGGTAAACATCTGATAAAAAATAGGAAGAACAGAATTTTTGTACAACTGTTGCATCTCATTAGAATACTGTATCGACAGTGTAACCATTCATAAAAAATTCATATAGAAACTATCTCTTTCTTCAGCCATTATAAGTTGTTTTCTGTATCATCCAGACTTAAAAACCCACTACCCTGAGCAATGCAGACCTTGATGTTACTAAATCTGTATCAAGTACTAAAAGGTATTAAACAGGTATATCATGATAACTGGTGCACAGTAATGTTATTGTTGAAAGGGAAGGTAAAATAAAATAATAATATTATTAATGGAAATAGATAGATGGTAGAACACTGATGTTAAAATACAATGATTATATTGATGAAAGAATGACATCCAGACTGACTTGCAGTATGTACATTCAAGGCCAATACAGGGGTGGATCTAGGGGGGGTGCAGGGGGTGCGCACCCCCCCTGAGATGACCTGCGGTTTTCTAATACAACTGGTATTCTGCCAAACTATGTGGTTTATTGGTGTTGAAGTAGAGCAAGAGAAGAGTGCACCCCCTCCTAAAAAAAATCCTGGATCCACCCCTGCAATAGGCCATTTTACAGTTGTGGGCTTGGTGTCATCAGGGTGCAAAGAAAGTCAGTTTTACAGTCTGCCATTTGGGCAAGCTGTAGCTAGCATGTACTAGTCCACAAGTCATTTCAAATAGCCCAAAAGCCTTTTGATTAGCAGTATTGATTACAAGCCTTCTGTAATTTGAATTCCTCCCCCCCCCCCCCTAAAAAAAAGCACTTGCCTGTGGGGCAAGTTAAAAAAAATTCACAAGCCCGATAGCAAAATCCACTAGCCCTGGGCTATCAGACAAGACTTTCTTTGCACGCTGTGTCATAGTCTTTGAGTCAGTCTTTGAGCGAATGTGAGGCTGAGGTTGATACAATTAAACTTCCTTCCTTTTCTTATAAATGTAAATTTTATCGGAAAAAAAAACTACTTGCATAAAAACACCATGATCTACATAACAAAGAAGGAGGGGTTGTATCAAAACAAGGTCAACTCTAGCTTTGGCTGTAACTGTGAAACAGACTATTATTGCTTTCCCTTTAGTTGCAGATGCAGATGTAGTGTTATACTATGGACTACATTTACATGTATTAAATAACCAGCAAAAAAGTGATTAAGTCAAGTACATGTATATGGTGGGTCCCCCCTTGGGCATTTATTACAAATTTATTACAGTGAACCGCATCCGTTAGGAAAGCACCCAGACCTTTACAGACTCCAATTCTTCCCTAGTTTTGTAGTAAACTGAGCTAACTTATTTTGATAGAAGGTGTCGTGGTGAGGAATGTTTTGAAAAAAAAAAATTACAAAATAAGGAGGTCTCTGAGTCGCTACATACATCACTCCGTCATTTAAGAGGCAGTACAGTCAGAAATTCACAACCTGGCAAGAAACAGAAAAACTAAGCCTAAGCTTATGTAAAACTCAACAACATTTAAATAATTGAAGATCAAAACGTTGTACACAGTTTCAGTGATAAAACATACCACTTAAACAATAAACTTACCTTTCTCCGTTTTACCCGGATCGGCAGGACGTTTCAGTGAAGTTGAAAATACGTTTCCTCCTCCAAAAAAGACTCTATTGTAGCATTTTGTAAATTAAAAATTTTCCATCCTGGCCGATGTACTTTGCTTTAAATGAGTTCTTTTTGCAACGCACTCAGCAATATACGCATATAAAAAAATCTTGTCAACGCCCCCTATAAGTACTATAGACTACGAGAAAGATATCACACTTTGTAAACCTTTCCATGCCATCTTGAACGAATGATCGAAGGAGGATGGATTTGGCAGCCATCTTTGTTTACTCACTTGCGCGCGGTGAGGAGACTGAACACTAAAAAATCAAACAGCCAATCAGACAAAAGTCTCCTTTGTTTGCTTGCATAGTTTCTGGGACAAGGAAGTTTGATCACGCATCTCCAGCCCTGAAAGACCTGAGATGGATACCAGTTAAGTCTCACCTGTATCTAAGAGACGCCATCTTGGCCTTTAAATCTATGACAGGTCAGGTACCAAACTAGCTCAGTTCAAATTTTATCTCCAGAGGGAATATAAGTGGTCGGACGACCGGATCATCTTCCCAGCTTAATATACCTCTTTTTAAAACCAAGTCGGGACAGAGATCTTTTTATTACAGAACTGTAACATTGTGGAATGCGTTAAAACCCCATTTTAAATTAATTGAATCTCTTATCATTTTCAAACGTAAAATGAAAGCCTTCCTTTTAAATCAGTTTTTAATGTCAAAATTTTATATGTAAATAGTTTCTTAATAGTTTGTTGATAATCAATTTGTGATACTTGTCTTTTCGTGTTTTTTTTGGTTTTTTGATTACCTGTACTATTAATACTTGCCTCTGAAAAGCCCCCATGGGGAGTTGACATTAAAATTTGCATTGTATTGTATTGTATTGTAATCCGGACCTGTCAATTCCTTGTTGATGCTGTGGAGAAGAAGAAGCAGACTTATTGAGTTAATTTGTTGCAGAGATAAATTGGATCAGGCTTTTTTCGGTAGAAACTTGAATTGGCGCCAGATATGAATTCGTATAAGCTTACTCTCAGGAAGATCGAGTCACTTGCGGAGGCAAGCTTTCACGATGCCCTTCTTGCGGTGATCTGACGTAACTACCATGTTATTTCGCGTTTTCTCTCGATCGTTAGATCAAGAAAAGACATGGTACGCATTGAATGATCGTTTGTGTGGTAAGCAGCCGAGAAAATTCAGCGAGGATTCTTTCTTTCAGCTATTTCCCGATTAATTTCTTCGTGTTAATTTTGCTGATCTGCACGATGTAAATGGCTGCCCTGTTTCAAGCCAGTGGTTCAAGCTAAATGGGCAAAAATCTTCTGATCAAGTTTACGTTGGAAGTACATTTGCAGTAGTTGCCTGTAATTTAGTCCTTAGGAACCCGTCAGAATCGGAATTTCTTCGATCAGAAGCCTTCTTGTCGCTGAAGCGGACCATCAACAAGCATGTTTTGAAAGAATCGGACATCGATCACAGGCCCGCTCAGGATTTATGCTGCGTTAGTACAGACAGAGATTCTAATAGTGATGAAGGAGAAACTCCCCAAGAATTGAAAGGGGAGAAATTATCTTTAGAAAGCAGCTTTCCGGGAAGCCCGCCAAAATGCTCCACTCCACGAAGACAAAGCCCCGCGCGCCAAAATTTGAAATCCCACTTGACCATGTTCAGACGTCTTCTTCAAGTTCCTGTGACGACTCCTCGCAATCTGTCGGATCTGCATCGTCAATTTCTTCGTTATTAAATGGAAAGTTTGGCTCTGCGTATAAGAAGAGAAAGATCAGACAAAAGGTGGAAGCTGTAATGGGTAGCGTCGAATCTGTACGTATGACCATGTTTAGAGAAGGGAGAAACCTTGAGGGACGTTGTTGCACAAAGCTGCCTATTTCAGCGTAAGAAAACTTTCAATGCGATCAATGTGCAGGAGCTCATTTGGCATGTGTTTAGTGAAGTAGCGAACGATGGAACTGGAGTTCGAAAGGCATTCTGCGAGCTCGTACCTGAGGAGCTGTGGAACCAGCGTGTTCAAATGATGTCTGTGCCCGATTGCATGTTGCTTCTTTGTAAGCTGGAATCAACAATATCTGACGATTCCTGGCAGATGATCTTAAATCGGACTCGACTTAGAAAAAGCGGGGTGAGTTAGCCACTGACTATTATATTTTTTGTGTTGTTGTTGTTGTTGTTGTTGCAGTCGGTTTTCTTTAAGCTTACTAGAACTATAAAGTAATCCCCCTAACCATAAATAAATGGTGGTCTATTCCATTCAAATATCCACTCCCATTTCCCCCCCACTATGGACAAGATTTTCTGTTGGGGGCTTTGAAAGTCATTTCCGAGGGGATTGACTGTGACGACACCTTTCATCTTTGGAAAATTTCTGAGGGGTGTAAGAGAAATTGGTCATTTCTGTCGGGGGAGGCAGGGGTACTGTGTCAGTACCTTTGATCTTTTTTTTTTCTTTTAGAACTCATCAGACACTCCGATCTTGCTTTCCAAAAGCAACATAAAGGCCCTTCGGTCACATCACCCAAATACAAGATTTTCCTGGTTATGAAGTTTCTCTTGAAAGTGCCCTAACATGGATTATCAGGGAGTTGAGACTACATGGTGTGCAGAAAGAAATAATTGACCTAAGCCTCAAACTTGATGGTAGGCCATTTGCAGGTGAGAACACAATCTTTAGTAAATACAGTGTAACTTATTTCCAGATTCCTTTATTGTATTTTGCAACAACTGTGTTGCACTTAAGAAAGAAAAACAGAGAAACAAAATCATCGGTGAAACTGGGTTAAAAATTATGACACCAAGACATACAATAGTGTCCAAATTATTTCTTAACTCGTAACTGAAACAAGTTCATCCTAACGAAACCCTGTGATCTTTTTATCATGGGTGTAGTCCTTTTTCGCCAGTATTCTTAAACATTTACCGTTCCTTATCCATAATTTTCACTTGAAAGATATTCATAGTCATAGACAGTGCAGAGACAAAATAATGTAAAGCAGGGTATATAATATGTGGGAGTTTAAAACTTGTTGTCCATATTATTGTTGTCTGTATTAGGGAGTAAATTTTAGAGAAAACACATGCCTTGAGCTTTTTGTTGCGACAAAAGTATCCATTAAATACAGGTGTCTGTATTAAGTTTGAGGGGGGGGGGGGGTAACATCAAAGTGGCAGGGTAAACATAACCAAACACTTTGAACTCTAGGTCATGAAATGGTGCTTAAATTTTTGAAATTCCTTTTTTTTTGTTTCCTCTCATTTGTAGGGTGCAGTCAGGTCCTAATGGGTGTAGTCCCCAAAGACACACCATTCCTGTCTAATCAGAGCTGCAAATCAGTGTGCCCTTTAGCCATTGCTAAATGTAAGGAAGACAGGTATGTTGTATTTAAATTTGATTCATTAGTCAAATAGTTATTTGTTTCCAAAATAACTAGTTTTGTTAGTGAAAATTTTTATTGTACCTTTTTGACTGTGTAATATTTGGTTGTTGACCAGTTATACATGCAAGCTGAAATAATTTGTGGATTTACAATAAATTTATTGTATGAGGCCTAAAGGCCCCAGTAGACGATCATAGTTTTGAAAATTTTACCGCAAAGGTCTTAATTTATTAGTGGGCCATTCAAACCGGACCTTATGTTTTAAACTCTTAAGAACTAGCTGCCGCAGACTAGACTAGCAGTCTGGTATTTCTTTTTCCTTTTTTTTCACTTTAGTAATAACTTCAGTTTACCAGTAACTTTACTTTTTATTATTATTAGGGAAAACCTAAAAAAGCTGATTGTTAATATCAACAAACAAAAGGATGCACTAAAGAAGAATGGAATCACAGTGGATGGAGTGCATTATGCTGTGAGATTTAAAGGTAAGTTTCACATAATAATTAATAAGGTATTTTTTAGTACCATAATTTTCAATCCAAATGCCTGCATGTACATTGACCTTTTTTTTTTAATTTATATCTACAGTTATACTTGACCTGAAGGCCCTCTATCTTTTGCTGGAACAAATAGGGAAAGCGAACTTTCAGCTTGGGAAACGAGGAACTGAAGTAGGGTGTTGCTTCATCTGCAAAGCTTTGAGGGTATGTGGATATATTCAAAATCTCTGAGTCAAAAAATTCTACTATACAGGTTTTGACCTTACCAATGACCAACTTACCAATATAGTACTATTAGTTTTTCAGTTTTGCTGGGTAAAATTTCTTATTAAAAACTAGCTATGAATAATTGCTATTTTTATTGTTACTTTATTAGGGATGTAATTGCGATCTTGGTCCGCATACAGTTTGTTTGGAACACTTAAGCATGTCCAAGGCCTGCTGCAATATTGGAGGGTAATTTAGTTATAGTTTTGGTTTACTAAGAATTCTCCGATGATACTTGCTGAGGCATGCAGCCCTTGATTTTTCATGAATTTCAGCATTTGTAGTTGTCATTTTGAATTCACAGTAACTTCTAATTATAAAAGGCATTCAAAACAAGATTATCTCAATACGGTTAACCTCTATTCAAAAAAATAAATTCCCTGGTATAGTGAGTGAATCTCGTCATCCCAGCATTTATAGCTTAATAAGTATGTTTTCTGTAAAAGACTAACTTTTTATATAGACCTCATTTTAGCAATATTTTATAAATTAAGCCTTGCCTTTTGTAAAAGGGGAAGTTCCACTGCATGGAAAAGAATCCAAAAAAGCATTTTTTTGGACAAACATGGTGTTTAATGCCCCTGTCTATAAAATGTTGGAAGTTATCCTTGTCTTGTTTTCCTAGAGAGCACATATTATTTTTCCATAATAATTAATATATCACAGTCTTCCTTTACTGTAGGTGCGTCAATATTGTACTGTAGGGGCACTGTACGTCATAAAAGACTGAAAACCTGTCGAGTAAAATACTTGAGTTTGAAATCTATAAACCAGTAACCACTTCAGGGGAGATATCCCCCACAGCTAACAAAATAATGGATCTTCTTTTTTATAGTTTCAAAGGTATCCGTGATGACTTAGAGTTCCTTCTTGATTAATCTCTGCGCCCTTCACTGCGAACTTAGAAATACTGAACAGCTGTTGTCATCATTGGGTTTGTTTTCGTACAAAGTGGGTTCACTTGATGAATGTAATGACCAATTGGCAAATTATGGCCCTGAGAATTTTAGCAGCAGAATAACGGTGAAGATGAAGGATATGGGCCAAGAAACTGCTGTTGAAAAGCACAACATCCAGGTGTCTTCATTTTCAGGTATCTTCTATTTTGTTTCATCCTTGTCATGATTGCTTTCATTAGCTTTATCCACTTTGGGGCTTTTACTTCTGTGCTGTAGCAGCTGCGTGAGTTTCATTTGTACAATACCAGCTTGATCCTTGATATGAAAACTGTAACACTGGTTTGTAAATGAAGATGTCATTAAGGACATTATAAAGTTGTGAATTTAAATCCTGTTTGTTTCTTTCTGTACTATTTTTCCTGAAGGTTCTACTGAACGTGAGTTCCTCACAAACATTGAAACGATTGTCAGGAACTCCTTGCCTCATGACAAATTGAATTTAAGTCATATTTTGCTGATCCAGAAAGCTCTAAAGAGGCCCTCCTGAATAAAGTCACATTTTGTAATGATAGAATCAAGGTATGGCTCAGGATATTACATGATTTGAATGTTTCACTTAAACCAGTGCAACATACAATAATATTCTTTGTGTAGTAAGTAGAAACATACACTGAAAAAAAATGGTTTCTGTTTAAAATATTCAAAGAATTTTTAATAATTTGTTTTAGTACTATCAGGACATGGCTATTTCAGACACATTCACCAAAGACTTTGGTTCAAAGCAGGAGACTATTACCCTCACAGGTTCAGGTACATGTTACAGTCATTACACTAGCTGTTATTTAAAACCTTTCCTTCCCTTAAACCAGACAGTTTGAATTAATGACCGCATTTACAGCCATCTACACTGGAAGTTGTGATAGGCTAGCAGAGCACTGTTAGTATTAATACATACATCATTATTGCATCAGATTATGGCATCCCAGCTGAGTGAATGTTCCTTAGCATGTACAGCACCCCCTGTGGTTTGTTTTCTTGCATAATAGTCCTCCCTTAAAAAGAATACCCCCTTACACTTCGTGATGTGACTACCTATAACCTGTTTTCCTTAGAAACTGGAAAAGAAGTTCAAAGAAGACTGGAATTCTGGCAGGGCAGGCTACGTGAAATCGAGGGAAGATATGTGGAGCTGTCAGAGAAGTGTGTTGGTGGGTCGGTTGCTAAAGGGAAACGAGGAAAGAAAAGGCAGAAGGTAAACAATGCTGATCTTTCTCAGCTATCTGATTATGCAGCAGAAGTGTTCTACCAGTTTTTTTTAAAGGTAATCAAATAATCAAGTCCTTTTTTACTTAATTGGAAGACACATGGGACAGTTTTATGCGAAATAAGATATGGGGCGAAATCCAGACATGTTTGTAAGTTGAAACTAGTCAAGCTGATTTTGCCTTTTTGAACAAAATTCTTAACTTTAACAAGTGGCATTACAAAACACAGGCCACAAGGTAAGGTCACTGCATGCTCTTTTAAAAAAAAACTGAGATAGGCAGTTTCCCCTTAACTTAAAACGCCTCATTTCTGATTGTAATTTGGCCTTTTCGTACCCTAATTATTCATTTTGATTTCAGGTTTACACTGACTGGAAAGCCTGATTTCTGAAGTTATTAGAAGTAGTGTCTTCGAGGAAGATCAGCAAGATTTAATTGACATTTTTGACATACAGGTATGACTGTCAGGTAATTCAATTTTAGCAAGAATGTAAAGTACCATTTAAAAATGAAGTCCTCTTAATGTAAAATATGCATAATGTCTAAAACTATTACAATAATAAATTTAGACGAGAAGGTTAATACAGCTGTATTTTTTGTAGTGGAGTTTCTTGTAAATCTTTCACCAGAGACCAGCAATTAAAAGCCGCGTTGCATGACGCGAAATTCAAAAATAATTTCCAGTCTGAGTCACTTTAACTGACATTCAAAAACTCATTAATAATCCATGAAGAAATAACAAAAGAAAGAAATGTTTCATGAGTGTCTATCTGATAAAGGCACGGCTAAACTTTACATCCAATTTTTTAGATTTAAAAAAAAACAGATCTGAACATTTAAGTACAAGATCTATATATCAGAGATTTTGAAGCCGTTCAAGAAATCTGCAGACATGTATAATCAGAACCTGGAAATACACTCATGCTGGTCTTTTAAACAATACTTAAAGTTTGATTATAGAATGAGGCACATACATTATTATTTTAAAAGTAAAATGTTTATCTCTCCTAAAATGTTTAAGATATTCACAAAGTACAGGTCACATTCCACAGGTAAGAAGTGCATGTCACTGCTCCACAGATAAATTGACAAACCACACAGATTCCCTTCTATATAATAGAGCATTTTGTTAAAAGTTTAGGGCTTGCAAACACTTAAATATTGTTAGAACTAAAATGACAACTCTTTTTATAGAAAGGTTAGGAAGCTCATCATATCATTTTCACATTGTTTTGTGATACCACAGATGATGGATAGTTCATAAAGATATAATGAAAAGGTCTTGAATTTTATATAGCTACCCTCTTAAAAGCTCTTGAATCTAAGTTGAGTCAATGGAAAATCCTTGAAATTTAAATCTTGTTTTGAATATCCTTTAATCTTAAGATCTTTCATTGTTAGCAAAATAATTTCCTGTTGGAGAACATCCATAGGTATTAAAAATACCTTTAGCATACGTTTCTCATGGGATACTGCAAACTGTAAACTGCAGTCTGCAGTCACCCATTTGCAGTTTCACCTTGCCTGGATTTTAAACTTTAGGCAGACATTCATAATGTTTATCACCAGCTCTAACTAGCACATCAGAGAGTTGTGTAGAAAGCTGCTTCGTGCTTTTAAATGTAAGGCTGAACAATAATATTATTGTTATTGTTAGGGTTACTGCACACATTTTGGTGATTAATAGGGTTCAAGCACTTATTTAGGAACACAGCTTGCATCTTCATGGACAATAGCAAAAGTGCTCTGTGTGGGGATTAGGTTTATTGACAGTTGTTTCTCAAAGAAATTTGGAAATTGCACTGGATAGACCACTTAGTTTGTAGTTAACATCACTCCTTGCAGTAAGCATTTATTCAAGGTAATCTGTGGACACCAGGAATTTTCACAAACACAACTGGTTTTTACTCATTTATTTTTTGGTGAATTTTGCATAGTAATTATATGTCATTACATTACTGTTCTGCAGCCTTTCTGCATGCAGCAGAAAATGTTATTTCGTTTATTTCTGTACTAAATTCCAGCTGTTTGTTGCTGTACATTTATTAATTAGCCTGTTTGTTGAAATATAAGTTTTCAGAATTCCAAACTTGGTCACGATTTTGGCGTAGTCATTTTCAACTTCAGTTATTTTGCCAATTAAAACATTAGGATGAAGGGGTGAAATTTTGTCCACCGGATCAATTTTAATCGACACATATTCATCAACATGAAATTTTGGACCTCTTTTTCTAGGCTCTTTCATTTTGCTGTTATAGTTCATCTGTCTCTCATTTATATCTGTTTTGAGTTTCTTCCTCCGAATGTCATTCTCGTCTCCTTCGTCGGTGAAAAGAACCGAACTGATAAAGACAAACTTCCCATTGCCGTTCGTAAAGAAAAACATAACACTTGGACACATGGATTACTGTGAAGTATTTCCATTTGCGCAAAGTGCCCGGCGGCTGCCGGTTACAGTTTGAACAAATTGCGCGTGATGTGCAATGTCGTAAGCCCTCAAGTAAAGACGACATAAAGTGGTCGACTTGATTCTGCTGTTATTCAAACTGCAATAACTCTTTTAATTCGTTTCGAAAAGAAAACTGTTGCTACCGTTCCAAAGCATCTCCTTTGTCCTTTTAATTTGTTACGTGTTGACCTTATCCTTTGTTAAAACCTTTTGTTTCAGAAAACAGAGCAGCTGACTTTCAAGTCAAAACAGGCGGGGATGTTGGAAAATTCTGTAGACTTATGAGGAACAATATTATCTATTCATTAAACATGGACTAGTGTTAGTCGATTTAGGCACTTAGGGGCAGTTCCCAAAACTCTCAAATGTATCCCTTCCTCTTGGTAATTTTTATTGTAAATTAACTTGCTGTCACTAATATTTTCTTTGGTTTTGTTATAGCCAGTAAAAGGAGTCACACGAGTGACATGTACGTTTGCATAGGTCAAAATTAAGTAATCATAACTTAGGTTGAAATGCCATCAAAATATTTGTTAAAATTCATCTCGAATGATATTTTTCGGTTAGTCTCTATCTCTCTTATTCGTGTGGAGTATAAAAGACGTGTATACTAGTTTTCAAACCATGATAGACACAATCTTTACCACTAACGGGATTCATGAGCACTTTCTAGTCTCCTGCTCCAACATCATAATATTTCACGTGACCGTGTAGAAGGAACTAAAAGCAACTAAAAGTTTAACTGTGCTATTTCGCTTAATTTTAGGCTTAGCAAAGTAATATTTCTACTCTTGTTATTCGTAATTGGTAAATAATAGAAGAAAAGATTTTGTAATGTGTACTATCCACATCTGTTCGTGTTGCACAGCTAGTATAATCATCTTGCTTTATGTACCTTGTATGCTAGCCGCGAAGTGAAGGTTACCCGTATGGAAACTTAAATACGTGGCTGCTTGCGCATACTAGTGTTGTAGTCTTGATAATAACAGCAGACAAAACAAAAAAACACAAACTTACAAGTATTGTAGCTCAGATAGATTGGAAAATATCCCAGGTGGAAGCTGTTCAATTTTGTTGTTGGACAGCCACCTGCAAGAATAAGGTTAATTATTTTAACTGCGTACAATCAGTAAAAAAAAAACCCTCATCATTGTCTATTTTAGTTCTTATCGTACTTGCTTATTGCTATAGTAATGACCTCTGTATGTACTGATAACTTTACATACGTGGATGGAAAACTGGTCATTTTCTTTAGAAAATGGAACTATGCTTTAGACACTATTTTTCACCCACCTACTCCCATTAGTTTCACCCTCTGGCAAGCTAACGTTTAATTTTAGATTTATGTAACGATCAACAAGGTTCTTTTTTGTGATTAGCACAAGTCCATGGTTTGTACTATTTTACTGATTAATTAAAACCAGGAAATGCTTTTAAAGGACAGATTTCTCAAAATCCCGTTTCATGACACCAATAATAAAGAAAGATTTAAGAAGAGGACGATCCAACTAAATTGAGTTGTCAATGAACTTTTCTTTTGCAACCATTACCTAATCGCTCAATCTAGACAGCAATTTGTGATTGTTTTTCCAGTTTGTTTTTCAGCTTTAGCTAGAAAGCAATAGTAACTAACTGTAAAACTTAGGTTCCAAAGTCTCTGAGCTACAATAGTTCAATGACTATATGGTGGTTCAATAAGCATAACATTAGTTCAAAAAACCGCATAGTTGCCTTTTATTACAGGTTATTATTATTATTATTATTATTACAAGTGATACCGGTAAAAGTAAATTATAATTATTTTACACTGCAAAAAGTTTATATAAAGTTTAA